ACTTCAGTGCTCTGTACTGACTTAAAGGCCTCAGCATTTACCATTTTTGGAACGCGACTTTGGGGTGAAATCCTGACTGGAAGTGTTCTGTGCTGTATTTTGTTCTGTAGTGAAGCCTTTAAGTCAGGCGAGCAGGTTCAGTGAACGTTTTCTGTCCTCTCTTATCTCCTGACTACTTTTTATATGCAAACAGTGAGCAAAGGTCTCATCACTGCTCTTCTTTGTTTATAGTTTTTTGGGTGTGGTTTTTTTTTTTTTTTTTTCGTGTAAGACAGGATGGCTGTTGCTGGTAAATCACCTGGAAGAAGGTAACCATTGCTTTGGATTAAGAACATGGCACTGTTTATATTCTTGCCACATTAGATACCTCTCTGGAATAAAAACAAGAAGTTGTTTGCCATATTTACCTAAATTTCTGTGTTTTAAGGAGATGACGTGCATGAAGATAGTTTCAGCTTTCTGGAAGCTGTGTTGGTCAATAGGCAGGAAGACTGAGGGTTTCAATTCAGTCTCTCCCACCAAAGAGAGTGAATAGCTTTGTCTGCTTCACATAGCTTTATTACCGTCTTATACCTCCAAGACAAGAGTTACAGTAGCTCTTAGGGAAAAAAAAAGAAGATATCTCCATCTGATGTACGTTTTGAGTGTTTGTTGGTTTTTTTTTTTTCTTTTAAGTAGGACTGCTACTACATAACCACCATTGTAAAGTATTCAGTGCAAGAAATAGATGGCTAATTAGGCTATTGTCTGTAGGACACTCGTTTTATTCACTGTGGAAATTAGCAAAGTATGTCACAAACGAGGTACAGATCTGGTGAAAAGATGGTCTTGTGGTTGTGGCAGTGATCTGGGGAATTGTGTACTGAAACTAAATGCTTCACAGAATTTCTCTGTGATGTAAAATAAGTCACTTCGCTCCGTTTCCATTAGTGACGGCTAATTGTTTGTGCTTCATTTTTCAGGTATTCAGCTTGAAACAAGGGCCTGATTTGTGGAACTGGTGGGCACTTAAAGCTCCATCTGAAGCTAATGAGAATTGCAGATGCCCTAATACCACTGAAAAAAATCAGGCCCTAGGCCTGATTTGAACTAGGTACTTAGAAATTAGGGGACTCTGTAAACTTGTAATATTTCTGTACTTCAGTTTTCTAGCTGTGGAGGTTGGTAATTCTTTTCAGTTCATCCCATTTCCTCCCAAAACAACATCAACTCATTGGTTTGGTTTTTTTTTAAAGTTTGAGGCACTTAAATAGCCCTGTTAAAAGTTGAGTAAGCTGCAAGGACACAGAATGTCCTGGTTTTAGGACAGGAACTGGAAGGTATACAATAAATTAGAACTGGAATTTTACACTGATGAAGAACAACCAAAACTACTGCTTCATTATCTCATTGTTATCTTTTAGATAAATTAAGCAGGGGGAGGGTCCACTTGGGAAAAAAATACAGTAATTCATTAGATAATTAAAACTGTATCATAGCGCATAGCCGAGAGAAGGAAACAGTTAGGGTTTTATGAGCTCTCTTAGTTCTAACATAAATTCTTATTTTACAGTCATAATGTGCTGGGTTTATGTGGTGATAGGACAATATGGCGCAGCCCCAGTTGTCACTGTGCTCACTTGTTTTCTCTTCAGAGTGTGTATTAGAAGGTAGTTCGTACCAATGTGTCACTGAAGTCACGAATGCTTGATAAGTTGTGTCTTTGGTGTGGTCTTAGGAACAGTTGCCCACCATTTCACAAATTATGTTCCATCAGTGATAAAAGCAATGAGAATGGTAGTGCTGAAGGGAGCTTCATCATCCCGATGGTATAGCGGATTGTAAAAGGACAGAGAGCAGGTTTTAACTATTGTCTCTCAAACAATACTGTGCGTGGTTTGGTTTTGGCAACATTTGCATTTAAAGTGCATTCAGCACTAGTTCAGTCATCAGTCAAGTTTAGTTTTGCTAAACAAAGCTTCTGCCCAAAATACGCTGACTGCAGCAGTGCTATTTTAAGGCTTTACTAGTGTGAAATGTAAGGTCAGTGCTTATTTAATGATACTTAGCTAATGACTTCATAGTAGCAGTGTTCGTGTTGACATCACTCTTTGCTTGAAAGTTGTTTTACAATTCAGCTGTTCAAAATATTGTTTGATTATGATTTTTGCTAAGGATTCATCTTGCAACTGAACGGAAACTAATTGCTTGTCTGGGAAAGATTTGTAAGAGTGGATTTAAAGATAACAAAGGACAAGATCTTTTCAAACTCAGGTACCATTCTCTTTGGAGTTGAAGGCAGAAAATGATGTTACAGCCAGCTTTTTTTTTCAGTGCTGCTTAAGATTTTCTTGCACTATTTCTGAACCCGCCTGTAAAAACAAGCTTTTCAGGACTATGTGAGCTTAGTTTTTTTAGGGTGCTGCGTTAGTATAAATTCTGAATTCAACAGTTCTTCCATTAGTGAAAGTGAGGTCATGTTCGATGCATGATGGAATCAAATGCAGTGCAAGGATCTTTCATT